CTATGAGTGTTTTTCTTGCCAGTCTATCTGGTGTTCAGGGTATTAGTGGCCATGGAAAAGGAATTAGGGATGGCTGTGAGCCACCATGTGGGTGGTGATATCTGAGCTTGGAGCCTCTGCAAGAGCAGCAAGTGCTTTCAACCCCAGAGTCATCTCTTCAGTCCCTGGATCATGTCTTTTAAATAAACACAAATCTAAAGGAGACTCAGCCTATAAATCCTGGAGTCACCACTGGAGGCAGCATCAGAACTTCCAGAGCTAAGGAGGGAGGAGACCTTGGGCAGAACACAGACCCAACAGGACAGATCTGAGATGAGACCCTGTGGATCCCTCCTCTCTGCCCATCCTAGAACCCAGGTTAGATTCTGAAAGATGGGAAAGAATGAGAGAATCTCCAGGGAGGGGTCTGGAAGGAGGCAGGAGCTCAGGAGACTGAAGTTCATGTTCTCATCCTACAGTCTCCTGAGTGCAGGGGCCTAGGTGGGTCCTGGTGGGAAAGGATGGAAAAACACATTTTAATGCTGTCATGCAGGGAGCCCAAGGGATAAGGAGGCAGGCTCCACTCTCAGGAACAAAAAAAGGCCTAATCCTCCATACAAACTAAAAAGTCAACAACAGGGAATATGGCATAAAGAGCTATAGCCAGGTCAGAGCCCAGGCTGACCTGTCAAAGTAGCCCTGACTGCTCACAATCCTGGGGACAGGACATTGCTCTGGCCATCCCTGTGTCCCTGTGACCACAAATCTGAGCATGTGGTCCTAAGTGATGGAGAAAACAGAGCCAGGAGGTCACAGAGCTGAGGAGTGACCTTGTCACAGCCAACAAAGGGGTGAGCTCCACCTGGACACAGCCCTGTCACACTCAGCTCCTACAATCCCATCCTATCCCATTAGATGGACACAGCACAATGAACACAGATTCTGGGAGGCTCTCCAAGATATCACTTTTTTCCTCCACAAACTCTTAAGTATCTCAACAATTTATTTAACAGACAATCAACCTATCAGATCAAGGAAGAGAACAATCAAGTTCATATTGAGATCCTTATTTTCAGAGGGGAAGTCAGGGGTGCAGCTCAGGGCAGCATGGAGGTGACAGGATAGAGATGTCCCCTCCTGTCTGCTGGAACAGGAAGGGTTGGCCATGGAAGGGAACACAGGCAGTGCAGGGACAGGGTCCTGGTGTGCAGGGCTGGGCTGGGCTCCCAGTTCTTCACATTGAGCCCATAGGATCACAGGGAACATCAGACACTGCTGCAGAGAGTCAACCGTGGATGTCACAGGAGAGGGCTGAACACGTTGTCATTCCATGCCAGGCAGCTGTCTTCACGCTACAGAACAAGAGTCATGAGCAATCTTGTGAAGACAATATCCCAACAACCCACCACTCACTCACGGTGATTCTGGTAGTCCCTGAAACCCAATCAAGTCGACTTTGCCCCCCCCATCCCAAATCAGGTCCCAGAGTGTCAACTTTACAATCTGAGAGAGACACATCCAAGCTCTGGGAACTGTCCCTGCCTAGGGATAAAATATATACTTTCATAGGAAGATAAAAAGATGGCCCCTAGAAGATTTTGCTGCAGGTGATATTATAGATTTCCAGATCCCCAATTACTACAGCTTCACCCCACAGGCCTCAGGGACAATCCTGCTCCCCACACTTACCTGGAGCTGGAGCATATTTCCCTCCTTTTCCACCTGTGAGAAGAAAAGCTGTAAGAGACAAAGGAGGAGCTCAACCCTAGGAATTTTCCAGAACCAACAGCAGACTCAGGTCAGACCCAGGAGCTATGGGGTGTGATGTGTTTCCACGAGGCAGAGAACACTTCTAAAATGGCTGAGAGAGAACTCAGACCCTGCCCTTGCCTACCTGAGTTTCTCCTCTTCCTCACAAAAAACACCACAGCTCCAATGATGGTCACAACTCCAAGGAGAACCAGAACAGCAATGACTGCCATGATGAGGACAGTGGACTGAGGAGGAGGCTCTGGGAAGGGAAGGACAGGAAGGCAAGGTGAGGGTCATGACCCCAGCTCTCAGCCCTGACCCTGCTCAGGCTCTGCAGAAGGCTCCAGCTTTCCCTGACCCCAGCTCTGTTCCCCTCCCTCCTTACCCCATCTCAGGGTGAGGGGCTCAGGCAGCCCCTCATGGTACACATGGCATGTGTATTTCTGCTCCTCCCCAGAAGGCACCACCACAGCTGCCCACTTCTGGAAGGTTCCATCCCCAGAAGGTCTGGTCTCCACCAGCTCCATGTCCTGAGTCTGTTCTTCCTCCTCCCTCTGCCAGGTCAGGGTGATGACAGCAGGGTAGAAGCCCATGGCCCAGCACCTCAGGGTGACATCATCTTTAGGTCCAAAATGATGGGTCACATGTGCCTTTGGGGGATCTGTGTGGAAGATTTAAGAAATCCCACAAGAACAAGGTAAACTGACATCTGCAAAGACAAAGTTAAAGCAATGATGACACTGAACTATGTGTCTGAACACTTCTGACTGTCATCACACTAGTGACCTGCAGGGGGCACTGGTCCCCCTCATCACAGATCTGCACATTTTCTTTGGGGACCCAGAAGATAAAAGGGAATCTCAGGAACCAGCAGATCACATGGTCTTCCTTATGTGATGTTGTGTAGCATAAGTTAGGTGGTAAAAGAATGGAAGAAGGGATGGTAAATAATTTATATATGTGGTTAAATACATATCAAATTAAGGAATTAGGGGCACAGGTACATAAAGGGTGTCACCAACTACTGCTGACACCATTGAGGCTCAACCACTGTGGCCATCTTGCTGACCATCATAATTGTCTCTTCAAATGAACAGCCATCACCAAAGTGTGCAGCAGAAATGGGGTGAACCTCTGACACCAGTCAGAGAAAATGACTTCCTAACCCTCAGCCTCTGGGGGAACAAGATACAAGGTGTTGTCACCCAGGATCCCTGGAAATAGCTGTGGAGCCCCGTGCAGCACTCACTGGGACACAGGGGTGTGTGGGTTTCCCTGTCTCTCCAGTCCTTGATTTTCAGAAGACCCCGTCTCTGAGGATGTTCAACTCCTAATTCAGTGGGGAAACACTGTAACTTGTTGGGGCAGAGGGAGACCAGGGGTTTGGATAGTTAATTCTGGCAGAAAATAGTCTAAGGTTATAGGATTCTTTCCTTGAAAGGGAACACTGACTTGTCTAATTATCCAGATTACAAGACACCTGAGGAGACAGATACAGATAATGAAAAGGGAGGGTGAAACCGAATCACCCCGTCGAGGAAGAAAAACTGACAAAAGCAAAATAACAACAACAAAAAAGAAACAAAGAAAGATAAAAGAAAAAGACATATTTTAGATTTTTTTCAGGGCACCCTATAAGTGCTCACATGACCGTTCTAGGAAGAGATAGAATTGGGGTGATGGAGAGATGCAAACCTCACCCACAGGAATCTGGGAAATTGTATTCTTTAGAAAGTTCTAGAAACTGGGGAAGCAACCTAAGGTAGGGACATCCAGGTCTCCCATCAGGTACAGGAGACTTCCGGTCCTGGTGTGTAAGGCTGACACACTCAGTCACCGGGTGTGGACAGAGACCCCGGCCTGGCAGAGGCCATGGCTGACACAGGGCTGCAGACTGAGGAGCCACTGCTGGGGATGTGGGCATCTTCTCTCCCGCCCTCCTGAGACAGATCTAGAAACGTCCAGGGAGAAGGCTGAGCCCTGGGAGATGAGTGCAGCCCCTGCCAGGCTGGATCAAGAGCCCCAGGGACACTGTGTCCCCTCAGAGACAGGGGCGTGACCCCAGCTGAGGTTCTCTTCTTCCTCAGGACTGAGCCCAGCCCGAGGGCAGAGGGAGGAGTTGCCCGCGGCCCCTGCACCTGTGCGCAGCAGCTGGTCCTTCCCGTGCTCCAGGTATCTGCGGAGCCACTCCACGCACGTGCCCTCCAGGTAGGCCCTCCATCTGTCTGCATCACCAGTCTGCTCCCACTTGCGCCGGGTGATCTGCGCCGCCGTCCACGTCCTCAGGTCCTCGTTCAGGACGATGTAATCGTCGCCGTCGTAGGCGTCCTGACTGTACCCGCGGACCCCACTTCACAGCCGAACATCCGCTGGATGGTGTGAGAGCCTGGGAGGTTGGGGGGGGG